GACAATCATGGTGTAATTCCTGGTTGTACCCTCGCTTCATCCGCATTCCAGCATAAACGGTGGAAATGTCCCAAAAGTTCGGTCGGACTGAGACAGGAGGGGCAGTGAGATGATGGAAAACAACAGGAATGAAAGACTATCAGGACCCGCAGGGGAAAGTGATGGCACGCTCTTTAGGTTTCGAAGATGATTGACCCTGAAAGACGGAACAGAGCCGCTTCATCGAGCAGGTGTTGACGGAAATGGAGTGATGACCTTGTGAAGCCCCGACATGAACCGAAGCACCTCCTCGGAAGTTTTTTAGGCGCGCCCTAAATTCGGAGTTTCAGGGGGGCCTGATTCGCTCTTATAGGCGCCTTCGCGGTAGATGTCATTCGACCGATGTCATGCTACTCGAGCCTGTTCGAGTCCACAAGAGGTCTGGCTCTGAATGAGATGCCCAAGAGGTCCCCATCGTTCGGAAGAGACCTGATATCGGCTGCGATTTGATATCAGCGCGTCGGATCTCTCACCGGCCTTATCTCTCGTGACAGTTTGGCTTGATAGGCCGGATGTGTACAAGTGGCGGTAAATGATAGCGAGAAGTAACGAGCTGCGTATTCCCTCGCTCGCCAGAAACAAAAATTCGAATGCTATCAGGAGCAGCTCAGGCTCAAAAGGAATCAACCGTTCAGAGACGGCTCATTGACGACGGCGGGGGGGGGAGTCCGATAATTGTAGCGAGCGAAAGTTAAACAGAACTTTCACTTCGGGGAGCTTTCTCGGTCAGTTCCCTAAGATCGAGTTCCTTCTCCTGGTGCTATTGCGCAGCCACCTGTATCAGATCCCGAAACGCCACGCGGCACCTCCTTCCTAGCTCCTAGCAGTTGCCCGCTGCGAATTGCCTCGCTCAGTGTCTGAGTGATCCTTTCCCGGGATTACCACGGAGTGCGATCGATCCCCCGACAATCGTTTGCTCCTTGCGGTCCACAAGCTTGATCCAACGACTCGCCCCGAAAAATAAAACCGTGATGATGGGCGATGAAAGTATGAGTCGAATGATTGAAAGCTTTGGCGTAATCCTGGGGTATGCTATGGGGAGAGAGGAAAGCGTCATGGTGAATTCGAACTGGCATCCGCCCTCATTCATTCCAACGTCTTGTCTTGGACTCATCAACTTTCGAGTATCCATGAACTTCAAGAAACTCCATGGAAGTCTGGTAATTCTGAGGGCCAAATGAATTCGGAAAAGCGGCCGATAGCTCGGGAGCGAGAATTCGGAAGAATTGGCGGATATGACGAGGTTCAGCTAGCTCTTTGTCTCATCGATTTTTTGCTGTCTCGTCAGGGCTACCAGCGGGACTTTCCTCTGATATCAGTCGGCACGAGAGTCTTTGGACCGAAGAGATCTTGTGGCAGATCGAGCAAGATATTTCATCGCACCCAGGTGTGTAATGAATGGAGTCTTTTCTTGCGCTTAGGAAAAAATAGTCTAGCGAGAACTCTTCACTTTTCGAACAGAAAATCCGCACCACTTGTTTCCGTGATTTTTTCAACTTGCTTTTCAGCGTTCCGCTTGCTTGACAAGATGTGCAAGATCTTGGATGGGGGTTCTCATGAGCATTTGCGGAAAGCCTGATATAAACAACATTGCAGCGCGCGGATTCACTCAGTGAATCTTAGAGAGGTAGAAGCCCAGTCCACGATTTCATCATCAGTGACGCAATGGGGTCTAGCATAATCGGTCCAGATCCATACGACGTATCGACTCTGAATCGTACATCAGAGGAGTTAAGTTGAAAGGAAGCCACACTCAGTTCTAGCAGAAGATGGGAGAGCATAGAGCTCCTCTAATTAGCGGCCCCGCAGGCCTCTGCTCCAGAAGGACATTCTTCTGAGCGTGAGCGGCTCTCCCTCTATTTCCGAAGGCGCGATCATCAAGATAATCCGCTCGCTCCAGTCATCACGTCAATTGAGTGCCCACGACTGTCGGACCAGCTAACTCCACTCCATAAGGACAAATTGGGAATCACCGAGTGCAAGTTCTCAGGGATCATCATCTATTAGGAATATTTTCCGTGTCGCCGCTGGTTTCTGTGAACTCACTGGATTTCTCACCGGCTCCTCAATGTGGCGGGTGACGCGAATAAAAATGGGTGAAGTTGTCCTGGTGCTCACCGTGTTTTGCACGACCAGCTCGGCTGCCATCAATCCGGTTAAGGAACGTCTTGTAGACGGTGAGTCCCCATCGTCAAAGCTCCCCGCGAGCATACAGAACCCTTCCGCGACCATCTAGACAACTCGGTAGATTTCGTATGCGCCCTGAGGAACCTCAACGCGAAGCTGGAAACTTCGCACGGTCTGCTGTGAGCTCCTCGGGGAACCGATTCCCCGCGCAGGCTCCAACCTCGCTCATCATACGGGAATTCAAGAGGTGTTGGGGAACAGTTTGAGTGAAGACCACGGACGACTCCGAGAATCCAGAGCAAAGTTCTCGAGGAGCCGCTGAAAAACGACAGTGAACACTGCCGAGATCCCCCTCTAGCAAGCTCGTCCTCCCGATGGAGATTCTCGAGAATCTTCCAGGTCGCGTGACTTCGGAAGGTGATATTCCGTATAGATTCTTAGGGACGCTGTCTGTTGGCAAATGTATTGATTAGGCTGCTTACAGTTGTGGCGAACATCAACGTTCCGAATACTACCCGCGACCTCAACCAATATGAGGATCTCCAACCCATTGTCGAGGGATTCATGAAAAGGTGATAAAATACGGGCTGAAATTGGGGAACGCAACGATTCTGGGGATCGATTCGAAAATTATCGGTGATCTGAAGCTGCGACAGATGTAGAATCAAAGAAGATCATGAAGTATCTATTCATCGATTGCGGGATCCGGGAATTTGGAAAATTCATCAATTCAATTCATCTGAAGTCAATCCGTTTTCTTTTTCGATTTTGACGCCACCACAGGATGACGCGAGAGATGTATCCTCTGTTCGAAGATATCCTGTTCGACCCAGAGATCCCCGCCGAGTGCGGGGCTGCCTTCCAGAAGATCATGCAAGGGATGCAATCTTTCCAGTTTTGGGCATACAGATGTGAGTTCCTTGTCTAGCAAGTCGTTCCAGTTTTGTCAAGCGCAAGAAGCGCGATTCTCTGGAGTGCGACGTTCACAGGAGCGTGATAGATTGGATCGAATTATCAATCTGAAGTCTGATAATGTCAAACGCAAACTGCAGTCGTGCGATCTTCGGGTGGTCTGCCAACGGCTTTGGATGGTAAATCAGCTGATCTGGGCGACTACGATTCGTGCCTCGCGGCGGAGGCGAAGAACAGCAACGGTATCACTCAATTCGTATCCTGCAAATTATCACCGATGCATACACGCCCCAACATTCATGCATTCTCGGGAAGAATACAGAATGATGATGCGGATGATTGAATTACAGGGGAGATTTTATTCACGGGTCGATATTGCACGCTCTTCTTGTCGATAGATAATGTTTTCGTGCACAAGATCATCAAGGATGCGATTTCGAGCTACAGTGAGATAATTGTGAGTAAGCCTCTGATTTTCACGATCCCAGTCAACATACGACAGATAGGTCTCAACCGCACCCTGTCACAATTTCTCCTATCTTGTGAAGGATTATCTTGGGAACAGCACGACGTCGCTCGATGATTTCTTGAGGCTAATGAACAACAGGATAGGAGTGTGCGTGCCATCTACATGTCGTGGAGAGGATCTCGAATACGTCGTGCAGAAACGTGCGTATACTCGGGAGATGAGGCGCCGGACTCCCGTCTGGCTTCTACTGAGGAGTTCGAACACCTGCTATGACATCGAATCCTTCTCCTCCGTCGCATCTACTTGAGAATCAGCTTCTATCTTTGATTGATTATTCCCGCAGTCGGAGGGAAATACGGATTCCAACCATGGGTGCCCGCCTGCCGAGCGTTGTCCGAGGATCCGCCCCTGTCAGCTTTCCAGATCGGAGTGATGTAGGAATCTGTTTATTCCTAGGTCGATACGTTGCATATTTTCCTTATCATGAAATACGTCAATATTTTCCAAATTCTGCGAATTCCTCCGCAGAATCGTGACTTCAGTGCTCGTCATCCTGACGATAGTAGGAATCTTCGCAGGGCGGAGATTGGAAGATTTGGGAGACGTCAGAGGGAAAACTGTTACTAGTAAGTCTCACAAATCAATCCTATGTCCACTGGGTCAGGACAGATATTATACAGGCTCCAGTCCAGAGCGGATGAGATCACGAGTGGGATACGCGGTATTTCAGAAATATTCTACAAAGTTCTGCATGCATTCTCCCTGGAGCGAAACTTGCGAATTATATTCCGCACCGATGTCTCAGCCGACGTCAAGCATTTGACTTGTGTACACGGCCTGCGAGCTATCAGTGCCTTCTATATCCTCTACGCTCACTCCTATCTCGTGTCGGATCCTTCGGCTCAAGGTGAGACATCGAGGTGACTACCGCGTGTTCAAGACCTGCGCCATGGAAGTCTGTTGCTTGATATTAGTCTACCATCGTCGGCTCTTTTCCAGGGAACCCGATGCAGATTTTCAGATGGATCCGATACGATATCACAATGCTCCCTGTCTACATGGGCTTCTACGTAGTCGACACTTTCTTCTGCATTGCGGGCCTGATGACGTATCGATCGTTAAAGCAGGAACTCAGTAAGGAATATGTGAGTTGAAGTTCCGTGGAAGCCTCCTCGTGGTCTCGGTGTATCGAAAATAAGAAGTAATGGTTGCACATAATGCCCAATCCGATCTCATAACTCTCCTGCTATCACAGGCCGCCTCGGTTCCTCTCATCGTCTTCGTGACTCTGATCCGACGGTGGATCCGGCTCAGTATTCCGGCAGTGTTCCTGGTCGCATTCTACATGTTATATCCTGCGCTCCTCTCGGGTGAGTTTCGGTCGATCCGCGAAATTTAGAGATGCGCTGGATCAACAAAATGATCGCTCCCGAGCTTCCCGGAATCGAATTGCGTCTGAGTCCCTCGAGAACCCTCCCTGAAGCATGATTGTCTCACAGGACCGGGGAAAGATCTCACATTGAGTTTCTTCGTGGATAACTGTGCTCGGAACTGGTGGTCGATACCGGCAATGGTCGGGAACTTTTTTGGTCTCAAACAATGTATCCTCCATCTCTGGTAAGCTCTATAGTCATGATTAAGGCTGAGAATCATTCACGGCGTTCTTCTCGCAAATTCACGGCAATTTTCACGCCCCATTGGCTTCCAACCGAGGATCGCCTGAAAATACCGCGAAAATTCACGGTGTTTGGCGCGATTGCGCCAACTCCCCAGTCCAAGTCATGGTCATGATCTGTTCCCGAGCATGAGGCAGGGATCTCAATCTTCGATGAACGTCCCCCTTACTCAGGATGCTTAGCTTGGGATAAGAATATGTGTAATTCGAAGTCTTCCGATAGGTACGTTCCAGCGGACTTCCAAGCCACGGCTATCGTCGTCATTCCAGTCATCCTCCTGATCAGAGGAAGATACCGGCTCACAGGGAGCATCCTCTTGATCGTTGTGGTGAGTCGGAGCTCACAGACTATGAACTATGGTGAGTTTTCCATAGAAAGTCAAGAGTCTCATCCGCTGCGAATCGTTCCATTCTCCAATCCAGGGAACGTTCTCGTGTGTTTTCATTTCCGTGCATACGTGGCTCTATGAGTTGCCTCCTTTTGTGATTCTCCTGCCGAACATCGTTCGCAAGGTGAGACATTCCTAGAAATACGTCGTGAAGTCCCTGAAGTTCTCCGATGGAGGAAGAAGCATGGAAGCGCCCGTATGTGACGATTCGATTCGATCGGATGACGGGAATTCATTTTCTGCTTAGGTTCCGTATCTCCTCTTCGGTCTTTACAACAACTCCTTGAGTCATTTGATGAGCACTGTCATTGGGGTTTTCCTGGGACATTTCATCGATAAGCAGAGGACAGGTAAGTCCCGAGATATCGTCGCTAATCGGAAGCCGAGAGCCGAGGAAAGCATACGGGGAGTTTTCCTCAACTTCCAGAAAAACCGAGAAAATACACCCGCTCAAGTCTGTTGAGGATTTGGCTCTTCATATCAATCTTGGCCACCATCAACTACTTTCGTAAGTTGAGAAGCTCGCCGACGCGAACTTGAATCCGAAGCCACAGTCGATTTTTTCTCCCGACCTCACTCCGACAAGCAAACTTTCCCTTCATCCCACAGTACCCTTCTACTGGCAAACTGGCGGAGACTTCGTTAATGTTTGGGCTGCCCTCTACGCTGGTTTTAGCCGAGTCATTTGGTGCTCGTTCATCGGGTGGCTCATTTTCGTGTGCGCCACGGGCAATGGAGGTATGAATCTCGATATGGACTCGGATTTTCCGAAGAATTTAGAAAATTCAGGAATTGCTCAGGATAGGAGATGTAGAGCGAGAAGTTCGGACTCGCGGTTCGGCCGAGTTCTCGGGGAAGCCCAAATATCTCGAACGACTCCTTTGCTCTCTCAGGCATCGTGAACCGGATATTGACGTCGAAAGTCTTCATACCCCTCTCAAGAGTATCGTATTCGTTTTACTTGCTTCACGTTCTGGTCATGGGAGCTAAGGTGTACCACCAGCGGAACCTTACGGAAGCTCGTCATTACCTTCAGGTGAGAGCAGCCATGCATCGATTTCCTACATGAAGTATCAAGTGATGACTTAGTCATATCCGGCACAGAACATCATAATATGTAAATCACTGTCAACGTAGCTGTCGTAGCTCGGGATCCATTACGTCCATCGCCACCATCTCCATTCCCAGGCAATGACGACGGTCGGTGATTTTGGACAATCCTTCTTCTTCGCCGTAATATTCTTCTGCTTGGTGGAAGCCCCTACAACTCACATAGAAAAGATGGTGTACCTCCGAATTTGTGAATATGTAGAGCCCCGAGGACGAGCTAGGGCTACTCCTCCCATAGAGGAGCCCTCAAAGTCCAGGGAGGCGAGTAAAACCATCGAAAAGTACCGACTATGATCGGTATTAGGATACGAAATTTTCGAAGGCAGCTGTCAGAGATTTCTCTTGTCGTGGATCGAAAGGTAGCTAAGCTACACCGAGGGAGTGACCTCCCCATTCCATAAGAAGTCCTCTGGATTCCAATGTTAGCGGTAATTTCTGATCAGGTAGTCTGAAGCATGCATGAATAGCCAAGGATCTAATTCGAGCCAGTGCATTGAACTACGAGAATCTCAGAATATTGAGAGCCGAACTATCCGCCAGCTCCAATAAAGAAAAAATGCTTCCTGACAGAAGTCATCGCGAAAGAGACTTTGTACGATAAGGAGTGAAAAAGGAAGAAATACGCTTTTGTGGAGGTAACCCATCCCTATCTGTTTATGGCAATAATGACTCCTAACCTCATTCTCTCAACTTATGTCAGACTTCCTTTGAAATATGTGTTTTTGACTCTCGAGCAGATATTCATGAGGTTATCGTACTTTCTTATCAACGATGAAACTTTGCTGCCAGGCGTCCCGTCGGACTCTCCTGCCAGAACATAGAGATGACCGAATACCAGAGCATCCAATTCTGTAGGTTTAGAGCCGAAAAACCACTCTCTCTCGGCTAAGCGTTCTGATAGAGCGAAGAGACACGAGTCGATCTGGAAGAATTCAATTGAATCTTAGTCGTCGATCCGCACCGAGCTCTGGCTGAGGAACTCAGAGATATCCGTACGGCAAACGCACGGATTACATATTTGGCATCTGTATTCGTACCTCTTCGAGTACGTCTCTCTCTTGCTTGTCCGCCCAGTCCTTGATTGCTCGTTTTACGGCGCGACGCTTCGACCACGGCAGGATGTCACTCAAGGGCCAGGGATAGACGCTGCCATAACGCTTCCATGTCACTTCGTAACCGTTGGGAACAACCCATGAGAAATATAGCTCTGCGTTGTCGAATACTGTCTGGACCTGGAAAGAGTGAAACGCGGTTGATTAGCGTCGGAGAGAAACCTCGGAAGAATCATGACCCGATGGGCACCGGGGGGTCGCGGATTCAAGGAAACGATCTCGAACTAACCAGGCTAAAATACGCTGCGTGGTCGGCGTTCTCGGCCGCAGAGAGATTGCTGGTCAGGCAAATGCCCTTTGATGCTACAAAGCCGACGATCGAATCCAGATCAGCGAGAACGAAGGATCCGCATTGTAGTACTGGAACACTCCCCGTCGGGGATATGAATTCTGCGTTGGGTCTCTGCTCCACAACGTGATCGAGGCCACACATGCGGAGGTAACTCTGGAAAAGAACGTTCCTGAGGCTTCGCGGGCTCCGAGACACCGGCTATGAACCTACACGAGAGACCACGCTCATCTTCGAAGCAGAATTAGGAAAAGACGGAACATGAATTTTGACGCTGCAAGACTCAAGACTCAGACTTCACAGAAAATTCTCCCGAGTATTGTTCACACAGATGACCGGCTCATTGCGGATGGCGGGGAGCTTCGCAAGAGGTCAAACCATCCGCTTTGAGAGCTTTGGAACGGGGAATGCGGAGAGAACTGACATTGATAGCCAGACCTACCTGTACGGCCAATGATTGCGCTTTTTCATTGCATTGTGCTTGGGTTTCTTCTATAGGCTGATACAACTTCGAGTCCTCTGCCCACGGTTCGCGCGACCCAACTTCCACAGCCCACGCCTCTTGCAGCAAAGTGGTCCCCATCGCCGCGAGATGAAGATGTGGGGAAAGTCTCAGATCGAAGTACAATATTGACAGATTCTCTGTCAATCAATGAGCATGAGCATTCGGCTTCACCACAAAATACGAATATTTACAGGAAGATTATACTCCCGTGGAGCTCCAGGGAATGAGGTACAAATGATGACAATGATCCGCGCAGGTAGTTTCGAATAAACCGGGCGGTCTCTTTCAGTGCCACGGCCTCAGGAGCCCCCTTCGAGCTCATCGAGCTGTGCAACGATAACGATTTTCGGTAGGAATTCCGCTTCGTGAAATAGCATGATTTCCCACAGTCTTTCCGATCACGGAATACTGCATGGTTCCGCAGATACGCACAGGCTCCTCCTCTTGGAGCAGAAAAGGTGACAGTCCACCAAAGAATGCTATTTTGTTTGAGACTATTCCTGTCTTTTGATATCCGTGATGAGTGGGATGATACTGACCTCCCTCCTCCTCCTGTCGATTCATGATCTACTCCAATCTTCTCACTGTCACGCCGTGTAGAGAAATTACCGGAATGGATAGAAGCGATCGACATTTACGACGTCCTGTACTACAGCACCTGGGACAAAACCGACGCAGAACTGACTAAGCGGAGAGCGGAGCGTGTGACTTCAGAAACGCTTTTCGCCGGCCATCGATAGAAGTATACCGCACGTATACTGGGATCTCCGGTGAAATTGTCTGAGCCAGAGCTCTCACAAGCATCTACTCCGAGAATCCTCGGGCTGAGGATACCGGAAATCGTCGGGGTTTCATCCATAGAGCTCAGAGCCCGGGGCCTCACAGTGATCGACAATGAGGAATTTCGGGACGAAAAACCCGTCCTTTGCACAGAGACAGAGGCCGTGATCTTTTCGAGAATCAGCCCGGATAATCCTAGGGATAGGCTGATGAAACTCCTATAAATTCTGGATTGCTCATCCCGAGGATTCACGGAGTTGATTCTTTAGAGCCCTCTGCCCTTGGGATAGATCACCGATTATTTTGGGGCTTTCCATTCCCGAAGAGTCTGGGAGTTGGTTATCCGTGGGGATGAGTGCTCTGTGTCCTGCGGATAGAATTTCAGATTCACGGATTTCAAAAAAGCGCGCCAAGCTGGCCATCACCGCCATGTCTCCAATATGGCGGCCCCTCTCTCGCAGCAGTCCGACCCCTCCGACGGAATCGGAGGTTTCCGATGCTTAGGCATTGGAGCCGCGCCGCTGATCCAGCACACCCGCCTTCCTCTAGCAGAAGGAATCGCCGGCAGCCGTCGCCGCCGCCGCCGCAGCAGCAACCGCCGCCATCGCCTCGCTCGCTAAAGCGGCAGCAGCAGCACCAGACACACAGACTGTGTAAAGCAACGGGAGCAAGAGGTGGGTGAAGCTTCGTTTGGAATTGCTCGGTTCCGGCAACGTTCTGTTCAGTACGTGATCTTAGGTAGCGATCTCGGAGCGCCGACCACGAGCTGGATCTGTCAGTGATCGACAACTATATCTAGTCCGGCAATCTGACGTGTTCAAACCAGAGTTCAATAGACAGCAGCGGCTTCTCGTGTTCGCTTCTCGACAACACCGGAGGGAGAGGGACCGGCGCGTCACTCATCGTTCAGTGCTTCTTCGATGAATTACTACATCGATTAGTTCATAGTCTGTTCTGTGGGCTTCCTGAACGCCAGTTTCGTGGATGTACGGGAAAAACAGACCGTGACTCCCGCAGCAAAATTAGGTTCCGATAACTCGACAGCGACCAATGTGCTCCCGCTAAAGGTTGAATGAACGCCGAGCCGACTTCGACGTATGCGTCATGATTTCATTTCCTTAGAATATGATCACATCGAGCTGATTCATTCGATAAGACATTTGTGCGGAGCTTTCGCTCCCGAGCCGGCGATTCGTTGAGTGTCCGGAGAGCCCATGCCGCGTATTTGAATCACCGGCCGTTTTGGGGTTGGTCGCTACTGCTGCAGCAGCGGCTATGGCTGTTATACAAGACGACGGACGCCGCCGCCGCAGCCGCCACCGCTGCTGCAGCGAACGAGCGATCCCTTCAGAAAGACAGACGGATTCGAAAGCAGCAAGTCAGTCAGTCAGCCACTTTTGACGGAACACAGCGATTCAAGGAGCAGACCAGGCGATAAACGCCGAGTTTTTCCGCGACGAATTCATACTTTTAGTTTACCCATGCGGATTCTCTCTGCCTCGATCGTTCACTCGTGACTGGTTTCGTTGGAAGTTGGTGGATTGCCACATGATACCGCAACCAACGTGTTCCGAGAGACTGGCGGTTCATAATCCGCAAAAGCCTCCTTGCATATCCCTGCTTAACGTATAAGTCGGCCACGATCGGAATCGCCACATTTAACTTCCTCTTCGATTCTATGAATTATTGACGCGAAGACGCATTGTGTCCATTCGATTCAGTCCCCCGCATGGAGAAATCCGGAGGAGTCAGCGATCGAATTGATAATTTGAACCCCGTCGGCAAAGCTCAAGACATCGAGTTCAAGAAATCTCGTATCGAGTCAGCTAACGCACCCGCAGGACCCGCAAGGCGATGACAATGTTGGGGACTTCGCGTGACTTCCAATAGATGGGGTCCGCAGCTGGAAGAAATTCCTTTTTAGACCGGTGTGTCTGAGCAACCGTTTCCGAATCCACCGGCTATTCTCGGTCGGATGAGGCGGTGGCACTGGAAGTGGCAGAAACCACGATCTGCGGATTCCGTAGGGATGAAAAGTTCTCCGTACGTCGGACGACGTCAGTTTGGTCGACTCAGTCGACGGCTTATGTTTAAGCTGCGGAGGATTTGACCACAGATCCTGGTTCGGGCTGATTGAGTGGTAATCGCGGTGGAGGGTGCGGTGTTGGAGTTTCTGAGAGTGTTGTACCTTGTTGTAAGTGGCGGTGGTAGCGGCAGCGGTGGATCACTGTTTGCTCGCATTCTGAGTTGCTCCACGGACTCGCTCGCTCACGCTGCCACCACCATCACATGGGTGAGTCATTGCTCGGTTCTCGGAGCCGCAATGGTAGATTTTCTCCCTCTATTGAGTGTGAAGCAAGCAAGCGAGCGAGTGAGCCACTGAGCGGACAGGCTGCCGCTCCGGAAGGCAGACCGCCTTGTTTGGCGAACTCGTTCACCAAACAACGGAAGCTCAGCACGGAGTGTAGTCTTCTTGTGCAGATCGAATAAATCGTGCTACGTCAGACCTTCCGATTCAAGCGGACCGGATAGCGGTGCTCCGATGATTCAGGCAAGACTCTGAGCGTTGACATCTGCGCTCCGTTTTGAAACCAGTATCGGGCAGACTTCGAGCGGTAACTTCAACGACTATCTCCGGATGAAGTTTGTTGGTCGTTCCTTGAGTGGTGCTTATCCAGGCAGAACTACTCTGCACGGAAGCGGCCACATCACCACATTAGGAATTAACGTTTAGCTCGACTTTCGCCGCTTCAGGCCAACGGCGCCGTCGTTGCGCGCTGCCTGAGGTCACACAGACATACTTCACACCATACATACGATCACGCATTCGAATGGATAGATAGGTGGCAGGGGCGGATTTACGGACGAACCGACAAGTCAGTCAGTCAGCCAGTGAAACCCCGGCATCGCACTGGAACACCGTAGTATTATCAACACCGGCAGAAGGCTCGCCGCCATGAACGTCACCATCCAGTTGACACAAGTGACATCTGTTTACAAGGACGGAGGAACAAACTAACTAACTCATCAAGCAAGGGAACCTCGCTCGTCAAAATCTTCGTAACTCGTTCTAGGCCCAGCTTGGGAACGTCGAATTTGAGACCATTGTTTTTCTCATGGGACGTTGAGACACTTCCATCATGATCCATCCACGGTTCCTATGCTGAGAAGTTCGGAGTCGTTCTCTTGCCTCTCGTCGAAGAAGACGCAGAAGTGAAATATTCTTCCCCTCCGATCTTGACAGGCTTGACGCTGCTTTATACGTGTCGAGCGGCACCCGGCACTCATTGCTCAAAATCCATTGATTGATTGCTCGACACCGATGCTCTGAGTAACTCTGGGTGCACTGCATGGTCGTTGTCCTGGAAGGCTTCTCTGGTGTCCCCGCGGCTTCAGGTGGGGCTCCTGTCATGAAGACTTGGAAACGCGATTCATCGCTGATATTCCGCTCTCCAGCCGTTCTCGGTGAAATTACGGGGGAGAATCGAATTCAGGAGTTTTTATCGGGGCATCCGGAACGACTACGGCTAACATCCTCATTCCATTGTTTCAGACTTGAGTTCTAAGGTTCGAGAGTGAAAGTCCAACTTTCTGCCATCAATCAGCGACCATGTCTTCAGGAGTCACTGTTTCCGTGGACGCCAAGCAGGTGTACGATGACGTCAAGAAAAACAAGGTGTATCGTTACGTGATTTACTGCATCAAAGACGAGAGAATAATCGACGTCGAAAGCAAAGGTGACCGCACCGCCACCTACCAAGACTTCCTCGGACAAATGCAGGAGCTCAAGGATCAATGCAGATACTGTCTGTTCGATTTCCCTGCCGACTGTCCCTCTGAAGGCACAAACGAACCATCGAAGATCTCTCTGGATCGTCTCGTTTTGATGACCTGGTGTCCCGAGGGAGCTCGTGTCAAGCAAAAGATGTTGTACGCTTCGTCGTACGACGCGCTCAAGAAAGCTCTCGTGGGTGTGTACAAGTACATCCAAGCGTGCGATTTCGAAGAACTTTCCCAGCAGGCAATTGAAGAGGCCCTTAAGAAGCAGTAGAGCTATGGTTCTCTATGCGGTATCAAATGTCAACTCTCTCTACTCCTGCTATGTCCATTCTCCTACTACTTTTTCTATTGACCTCTTCAACGTCTGATTGTCTTAATTTTATTTCCTATTGCCCGCCGCCCCAACATTTCCGTTTTGTATGATGCAAATGGTGATGATGATATGATGCCGGGGCGTCGTTGATCATCGACTGATGACATTGGCCAATTGCGTGAATGTTGCGAGGAGAAAGCAAACTAAGGATAAAATACCATGAAACCCGAGAAGAAGAAGACGAACAACAAGCAGACGAAGCGTGAAGAAAAAGAAGAAAACCCCACGACGAAACGATGAAGCTGAGACGGCGAAAATGATGATGATGGTAACGAGCCCGGGGATAACTTGAAGGATTCCATCTCCGGTACACAGAGATCAGCCGCCGTGAAGATGACAACAAATGAATATTGCTAGTGGAAATATAGACTGGGAAGAACAAAAACATCGATTTGGTTGGAAATAGGAAAGCCATGCGCGTATTTCACTCAGTGAAGAACAATTTCTCATTTCGGGATGGTGCTCGTTTCCGTCGAGGCGAAATGTAGCGAAATAGCATGCAAACCGAGCGGAATTGCGTCCAGGAGACGGACAAGAAATTCTAATAAACTATTCACTGGATAATTAATTATTAAGTTGGGTCGGTGTCTTCACTGTGGGCTGGAGCATTTTGTCCGATTCCAGATTCACCTGCGATGTGGGATCTTGTCATCCAGGTCGTTCTTTGCTGATAGTCATCTGCTTTATGACCAAAGTTATTCAGTGCTCAATAGTCGTCTGGCATCGATACTCCTCGGCAGGCGTCAGAAATGGTCGTTGAGCCGTCAATGATGCGTCATGCCAGTTTCAAGCTGGGAGCACTCGAGATCCCTTTCGTCGTAATCCAAGCACACGTCCCTTAAAGATCTTAGTTATCTTCATGACCGAATAAGGGAATTTCACACTGATTACGAAAGGGGAACGAGAAGCGTCGGAGAGAGAGGCTACAGCTGGAAAAAAAGAATCTCGTGAACATCAATACGAAACGACTGACTGGAGTTGCCCATAGAGATGCCTGTGATTCAATTCAGAAGTCTGAACGGTTGTCGACGGGAGAAAGACTGTCATACAATCCCAAGGGATCGGGAACTCGTCAAAGCGGGGGAAACCCCCGCTATGACGCCGAGAGATTCTCTGCGGCGCTCGTCGGATTCTTGCCCCCCCCCCCACGAGGTCAGAGATGGTCGCGAACAAAGGTCCTGTGCAGGAAGCTGAAGTCCATCTCCCCGGGGTTCCCGTTATGCGCCGAAGGAATCGGTCGGGAAAATCAAGAGCAGGGCCGCGTGTGACCGAGTGAGCGAATGTCACTGAATCCATCATTTCGCGAAAACAATGAATATCCGCGCTAGGTCTTCCAAGCGTGTATTTTTCAGGCGATCAGCATACCGAGCCTGCTGAGTCGGCATCTCTCAGTGAGGAAAGGAGCACGAGATGTCTTTGCGTCCGAAATTCGCCGCGGCAAAACGTGTCGGCTTCGCCTTAAAGCACGCGAGCTCATCGAAACCAGATTCCCGCGACGGATCCGGGTCGATTTCGAACAGGGGAGCTGAGCTCTTCGCCCATGAAGCTAAGATCCCGGCCAATTACCGATCAGGTCGTCACGGGAATAGCGCTATTCCTCTCAATGTGAAGCCAACAAAGCGTCCATATCCACGCAATAAGCCTATTCAAGATAGTCTCATAAGGTCTGCGAGAAAGGCGAAAACGAACTTGTTAGAGCATGACAATCCGGTGCCATCGTCTAAGCGACGGGAGCTGAACTCTCGCGAAGAAGCAGAGTCGGGTGCAACCAAGGCGCGACGGGGCCCGAGATCGGAGAAAGATATCGAAGCGATGAACCCCAGCGACGGATCGTCCAAGGAAACCTCGAGAGGCTACAGACGTTCGGCGGTGAAATCCATCCTCAAGGTTCACAACAAGGGCTCGAGGTCCCCAGGCTCTAAAGTTCACGGGGTAGTTCCAATCATTCGGGAGTGTTCAGCTGAGGCTAATCTAAGAAATGAGGTCAGGCAGTTCCTGAACACGCTCCCGACACCTTCGTCGCTTCCAGCGACCGAGAGAAGAAGTAATATTCAACTCTGTCGCTCTATTTCTTCCGATATATTCCGTTGAGTCCCGAGGATGATTATAGACTGGACAAAACTCCTCAGCAGGCCTTGTCTTCCGCAGTTTTATCGGAGCTTTCGGAGCCCGAGAAGCCGAATTTCTGTAGCAGTTTAAGAAGCTTCTTCACTTTCTTTGAGCACAAGATCCACGATGTTCGATATGCGGCGGAGTTCTATGACGTCGATCTGAGGAGAGTGTGGCTAAACCCGAAGTTTCGGGACGACTTCCGCATCGGGCCAGGCAGTCTGGTCATGGAGCGGAAAATCGGATCGGGTAGTTTCGGAGTGGTTTACTGCGCTGTGGATAAAGTGCGTAGAACTCATGCAGTAGTTCGATATTCCGCCGGAAGGCCACGTGTAGAGAATGACAGGATTTATTCCGCGACTTTTTCGGCAAATTGTAATCTATCTAGACTCTCAGATGCACATTCGAACTGCTCACAGGAGTCCAAGAAGAAATACGCCATAAAATGCGTTCGTAAGAAGGCGACGAAGATCGAGGAGGGATTCAAAATGCAAGAGAAAGAATTTTACGTTTGGCGTGGAACTGCGGGCCATCCGAATATTGTCTCTCTATATGCTGCGTTCGAGACTGCTCGAGCTTACTGCTACGTGATGGACTACGTCAAAACGGGGAGTCTTCATCGTGTTCTCCGGAAAACGAGTGAGCTACTCTCAGTCAGTGCCCTCAGTGTCTCGAGCCCGAATCGATCGGCTTCGATATTCTGAGCTTTGGTTAGGATATCATTCACGGGAAAAATTGCAGTTGCAATTTTCCCTTCAACCAGCCGCCGCCCGACGCTTCATACAGTTCGTACCTCATCTTGGAGGCCCTTTTTCTGACCACCCTCATCATCTCAGGACTTCCAGACGACGTCACTCGGAAAATCGCGGCACAGCTAGCGCATGCTTTACATACAGTCCATGCCTTGGGATGCCTCCATCGTGATATCAGCTGCTCGAATATTCTCATCACTCCGTCATTCGACGTGTTACTATCCGATTTCGGCATAAGTTTTGTGGGCTTGAGCGCGAAGACGAGATGCGGCTCCTTGGCATATATGGCACCAGAGGCGAGTTCTTGATCATGTGGGAAGAGATGCGATAGGCCCTATCCGATCTCTACAGATACACTAGATCCACGGTCGAGCGTGTTTCCCAGTCAAGCGGGAACAGCATCTGTGACTCTAAAGCAGGGCGCGCCGCGGGATATGGCATCGAAGATGAATTTCTCGGCGAAAAAAATTTTGTCTTCGGAGCAGGTGATTGCATGTCGGACATCGGGGCCCGGTGCGGATTGGTGGTCGTACGGGATTGTCTTGTTCACAATGTTCGAGGGTATGACACCGCTCAGTTTGTACGTGAAACGTTGGAACATCGATCTGAATCGGTTGTCTAAGCAGAATAGGTGAGAAGCTTCCCTAGGTCCCCTCGATGGTTCTCTTTGGGCTAGATCAGGTCCGAGCATCGGTCTCTGCCTGAGATTCTTAGTTGAGCGGAGCTGATGTTCCCTTTTCTCAATCCGCTCTCACATCGCTCCGAGTTGTATTTTCTCCTCATTGTATTCGCCATTCACAGATACGAAGTAGCCAAAAATGCCACCGTGCCCATCAATCCTCTGCTCGAAAAGGGCAAGCGCCTGCTCCTGAAAGATCTCTTCCGGGAGAATCCCTCGGAGCGACTCGGGGCGCGGAACAAGATGAACTTTCAGCCTTTCAGGGAGCACGAATATTTCCGAGGCATCGATTGGACCGAGCTCGACAACGCGCTTTCACGAATCCTGAAGAATCGTTCTAAAGTCCCCTTTATTTGAATCGGAATACCATCTCGATGTCCTGGCTGTGGAGAAAATTGGAATGAGAGTCTGCTCTTCAGATCGCATAGGCCACATATGTTAAGGTTGCTAGATGCTCCGTGAGTAGGAATATGGAGCCGAGCAGTATTAGTCATACTTCCAAGGCGATCCGTCTTGCAGCTTCGATCTTTCATCCTCATCATTTGCATGACATCATATTCGGGGCATAGTGCCATTCCCAATATGGTCAAGCCTCATCGCCGGGCACTGCGTCCGGCAGGGCTAATCGCCCCAATGCAATCTCTCAGAAGGCTTCCATCTCTCGTATTATTTACCAGCCCTGGGGAACGCGGCCTTCGGCCGTGCTCCTTATTGTGGACTCAAACGGGATTCCCGAGCTCATGACCCGGGTGAGAATTCGTAGCTTGAAGGCAGCGGCAAATCCACCATCAGGAATCGCGGCGGTTTGTCGCGATGCGATCAATTCCATGAGAAAAATGATTTCGTTGTTGGGCTTTGGCACTGACCACCTCCTGACGGTTTCTAAAACTCGTCGGCTCGTAATCTTCGTCATGAAAATCCGCCATAGATAATCCTGATGATATCACTATACAACCGGAAAAGTCTTGAACGCTATTCCGAACAGTCGATTGAACCCCCAAGATGAGCAAACAATCGATCGAGCAAATCTTGAACTCGAGCCTATCTTGCTGCGTAGATGTCATACTTCCAAGGCCATCCGTCTTGCAGCTTCGATCCTCATCATTTGCATGACATCATATTCGGGGCATAGAGCCATTCCCAATATGGTCAAGCCTCATCGCCGGGCACTGCGTCCGGCAGGGCTAATCGCCCCAATGCAATCTCTCAGAAGGCTTCCATCCCTCTTATTACTTATCTTGATCCCTTCCTCCTCTCTGTTTCATCTTGATCAGTTTCCCCTCTCTGTTTCACTCGATTTTTGGTGAAAAATCTACAACAATCTACCCATGAAGGGAACAACTCCCGAGCAGCTCAAGTCAATACAGCCGGCTAATAGATATCAGAAATATCTTCGCGATATTTCTCCGAAGATTCTGCACATTGAAATACCATGCCAAGTAGCACCTCGACACAGCCAGGAAATGCTACAAAAAAGACCCCCAGTCTGGGTGACGACGATAGGGAAACTGGATATCGTTCCGAGACCCCGTGGCACAGTCGCGGACTCCAAGAACGAGAGGCTGGGCTGCCTGTCATATTATCAGTCAGCAGCTGTTCAAGGCAGTGGGGGTCCGAGGATCGACACCCTATCGCCATCTTGCTCCCGCCCGTCAAGCACTCCTCGTAGAATCCCTCGTATCCGCCGGGAGGGAGGGGGCAGCGGGGCTGAACTAGGACTCTGCGAGGGGAGGGCTCTACGCAGCAAAGACCCCCGATGAGGGACCCTGGGTACGGTAAGATATCCTCTCGAGGATTCCGCGGAGATCTGGTCTAGAAACACTAGGGTGGAAAATGCTCCCGATTGCGACATTAATACCGAGACAGAATTTATTCACAGGTTATATCGAGAACTCTAATTGATATCCTGCGATGACTCCTTCGACAAATGTATCAGGGGCAGACAAATCTCTCGAGTGTGAGGCATTCTGACTTCTGACAGTTCCGACCCAACACATCTGCATCCCGGAGGGTGGCCCTCCCGCGGGAGCGTTGGCGCAACAGAGGACGACCGTATTCTGAGTCAATAGCGGTGACACCGGCTTGTTTTTCCCTGGACATGCGCCATAGGTCTCCTTTGTCCTCTCAGTATGCTTATACACGATACCTCATCTCGGTAAGGATCTTTGTCTCCGAATCAGCTCAAGGGTTGAGAGGTCGGGATAGTATTGTATTTGACACGGGCCGTATCCACGATGAGTGTGCCCATCTGGTCTTGAATCTGGTATCCCGCACATGAGACAGAGTAAACGAAATTACGGTTCTCGGGACGATACAGCCTTATCGCTGTCGCAGGTAGTGTGGTTCGTGACCGCATTCTGGAAGAGCTTTCCGAGAGTTCTCTCCGACAGGCAAACAGTCTCTCCCCCTCGTTTGAACTGTGAGCGCTGCAACATACCGGGAGGGGAAATTGAGATCAAGATCTATTCCCGTATCCTGGGGCATGTCCTCTGATTACTTTCATATTCCCAACTCATCCGGTGAGCTCACCATGCGATTGATTGATCCGATACACAGCCAAGTCGACTTGGAGCGCGTAACAGCCCATTTAGAGTGATCGTTCTTCGTTGACCAAGCTGTTTCGGACTCGCCGAAAGTGAATGAGACGCTCTCGACGTCGAGCACTTTGAATTTCATCGAGCATTCCGAGTCGAGTTTCCCCCCTTCACCGTTCTGCCAACTGGAAACGTACAGGTCTGACCCGAGGGCGGGGGCTATGGCTCTAGAATAGACGTCTGGAAGGGAATTAAGTTCCTTCTCAGTTTGCCCCTCGGGGGTCGGCGGCGAATCAGACGCGTGAGCAAATTGAACCAAGCTCGGGCAAAGGGGCTTCAATTCTTTCTCAGTCAGCATTAGATCAGGGATCTTGTGGCTCACCGTCGTCCAAAGAGCCGCTTTTGGCAAAAGCGAGGAAAGGCATTCCGCGAACCCCTCGGATGACGTTCTTCGTGACATTTTGAGTCACGTTGTAGGCAGAGGGATTCGATAACAGCAGCGATAGGTTGGGATAGAGCTTCGAAAAGTTTGCGGGTGCGTGACTTTCATATATGTGCGCCTCTTGATTCAGTAGATGGGCGGCTGTAAACGAGGGCGCGAGACTCGGAAATTACATTCGACCGAGTTCAGGTTGCAGGAATAATCCTAGAGAAGAAAGGAACGAGGGCGCAGAGCGCCCACCTTGGGGGTTCGTCTGACATTGAGGAGGAATAACTTTGTAACGCACCAATAGAGTTGAGTTGCCGGCTCTTGAAGCTCATACAAAGAAGCGTTTGGCCATTGACGTAGCCATTTTTTGGGAATGAGAAATTTCCGGAGAACGTGTTTTCAGGGAACTTCGGAACGCTATGAACGAGCCATAAACCCGAGTCCGAATCGAATAGGACCACGCCCTTTGTGTGACCACTCGACCAAGAAGCTTTCTCTCCTTCCACCGGTGGTTGATCGTTGTAAGCAATGTATACGAGCTCCTGTTCGCAGCGAAAGATACTTATGAGGTTCGAGAGACCGATATCGAATATGCCGCGGAAAGCATGCCCCGCTTCGACGACGACTCTGTCCGATGAGGAGTCGCTTTTCTGGCATGTTTCAAGAGGACGGTCGACAATTGAACTCATCAGGGTAACACCGACGCACCCGATTGGCTTTCGCCTTACTCCATTTGAAGAGGGGCTCGAGTGAGTTGGCGAGGGGATTCTGTTCGTCGGAAAAAATTCCTTTGGCGCCGCTCGAGAAGTTCTGCGAAATCAGGAGTTACACGAGTCCAGTCGCTCGAGCCATCTTTCGCCGCAGACCATCGACATCAAAATTGCGCTGATATATATTCGCTCACCCTTGCGCCATCCGCAACCATGCGAGAATCGATGTATCCGTAGTCCGAACCATCATGCTTACTTCTCTTGGGAACCGAACTCAAAGGTGACGACGGAGGTTGGGACAATCGATGCGGCAACTTATAGATGAGCGACCTTCACGGAGCGGGAACGATTATAGCTTTACGTCTTAGGACGTTCCCTGCCATCACGTCTGGACTATGACGCTCTACTCTACTCTGGTGAGCTCACCAGTACATTTTCTCCTTCACTCTCGTGCTGGACAGTTCCCTGCACTATTCATCTAGTTGTTCGACATCCCTCCTTCGGGATTACTCAGAACTTGCTCTCTCTGTATGATACAATTCCATCCGCTAGCGGAATTTCTTCTAAAACTTCACCGGAGATCTCGCAAGAAGATAAACCTACCATTCGACCTGATTGCCTTCGGCGTCTTTGCACCATAAGGCCTCCGATGGACTTCTCCCAATGCAGATCAGAACTGAAACGAAAGACAGGATCTTCATGTTGAGACGAGTGCCGGCTTTTCAGGTCTCCAAGTTCCAAGCGTCCACCAGCGAGACGATGCGGTTCCTTCTCTCTGTTTTCTCAATGATCCACGGTGTCTCCTGCTCGCTCGGTTTGCTCCGTGAGCGTCAAGTATTCATGCCCTCATTAGAAGCCGGCCTCTCATCTGGGTCCAGGTAGATCGAGGAGTAAACCGGAATTAGCGTCGAGATTTCTCCAAAAAGCCATTGAGCCGAACGAGATATGATCGCTTTCGAGCGGAATGCTCCTCGAGCGGCTATTAGCAGTAGACGATGGGATTCGAGTGTATGGTTCGCTGAACTCGACGATTTTCGTAGAGATAAAGCGGGAAGAGAATTACCAGAATGAAACTCCGTGATGTCTAGAGCAATCCTACACTCGCCGAATTCCGAGCCAATAGACCATGACTGTGAGCTGAGAAGGGCCCTCATTGAACTTTGGAAAAGTTTGATTCTGACCACGAGAGGAGTCGAATCGTCCTCTGCCCATATATCGCAAAAACGTGTTTGCTGGTGGAGCGACGAGCAGGAACTTTCTCACCCACAGTCAAGCGACGGAACGTGACCGGAGTTTTCTCAAGACACACATCACGACTCAAAAAATTTTCACTCAGCTGTCCACAAACTGTTGAAGGATCTCTCGCCGAAGAGATCAGAGATCGAGAATCGGTTCCCGAATGAACAGAGGCATTCGAGGCCTCGATATTCTTTCCCGAGCCCTGGTGCAATCCAGCGGAGCCTGAAATAGAGCCCCCACGAGGAGAGATTGCGCTTGTCACACCTGAAATTCCACCGGAAGCAGATGCGCGAGGTGTCTCCGGAGTTTTCCTCATGATCAGAGTTTCTTCCCAAGATCGAGGCTACGGTATGTCACATTTACTCCAGTAGAAATTCGCTGCGATCACACGATCCGTATCCACAATGGAATGCTCGGATGCAGTGGATGCCGCTAGCGACTATCCTCTTCTATCCTGAGGGGAAAGACTCATCGGAGTTCCCCCGGACGTTTACGCCGCGACAGCCACAAAAATCCTATATCGACTACTTCATGATTTTCCACAGGAGATCGATCGGATGAAAGCATTGTTACTCAGTTTTGATATCGAGGAATCAACGTCACGCTGATGATAAGATCCCGAAAACAATCGCTCACATTAGTAGGTGACCATCGTGCGATGATAACGGTTGATGCTTGAGGGAAAGATAGATCCCCGCAAACGGAAAAGTTGACTTCGTTACCTCAGTATTGAGCCTGAATCCGCGGATATCTCGAGTGGTTCGGACATGAATATGCTGAGGTAGTCGTCAAGAGTTAAGATCTCCCCATATTGGATGGGAGGTATTTATCGAATGAAATTGGCCAGGTTGGGTTCCTTCAGCCATCTTTTTCTTCGGCCCGTTCCCAGGAAGGAACTGACATTTTCGGACTGGGCTCCGACGTCAGGCATTCCTCAATCCAATTCCTGATTCATGAGAGTGCATTTCGATCTTTCTTTCCGAGCATTTTTGCCCAGGAGAGTGACCTAAAATGGAACAGAGGTTTTCGATGTCTTTTTGAGGCGCAAAGCCCCTCCGAAGTCGCCGACTCGGGCCGAGACCCCTTGTCTCTCGATGTGCTTTCCCCGTATCCCCCCGAGTGACCGAAGTAACCTGAGCTCTGTAGCGAGGAATACCTTGGGAATGCCGACCATCGCTGCCCTTAGCGATGATCGTATGATCGAGTTAAGTTCTGGTGGGTTAGGTCGATACCCAGAAATCCGGACCAAAAGTCCGGTGAGATGGAGACGGAAGCACAATCCGAGTCGGTTTATCTCCGCGAATTTTCCCATTGGTTTTTATTATGTCCGTAAATTGTAGCAACATTGACGCGATGCTTGAGAACGGGCGGTAAGCTTGTTGAACAAAATCTTGGTTTTCCTTTCCAGAAGGATAAACTAATGAAACTCAACATAAATACGTGAAGACGGGCTTCGAGGAAGCGTTCGACCGTCCAGCGGTTCTTGATGTTATCCTGACATCGGGTTCCTTCTGACTAGACCTAAGCTCGCCGACCAGCGGCCTGCAGAAGCGGATTGTAGAAGATTCCCGGAAAGCTTTCAACTCGAGGGGAAGATGAAAGAGAGGGGCGGAAAGATAAGGCACGACACACGCTCACATACAGCATACAGGTAGACGACTCGCACACATTGTACTAGAACTTCACTAAACGCACGTCCGTCAATGATATCTATAAAGCATGCGGAACTGAGCTTCGAGGGGCATCTGAAGAGCCTGGAGGCGCGTCCTCGCCAATTCAACTTGTCCCGGCTGGTAGTTCCTCAGCATCTGCTGTACGATGCTCCTGCGCCGCCTTTCGTGTGCGCTGGAAATTGTTCAAATTAGTTCCACCAGGCGACCGAGTCGAGCGACATCAGCATTCCAAGAGAAAAATGGCACGGTCAATGGAATACGGGGTGGGTGTATGCCAAAATTCGTGTTTTCGAATGATCTCACCTCTGGAGTTGCAGCGCTCGGAAGTATTGAGCGTACTGGAGAGGATCAATCAGTATGTTCCTGTTGGCGGCTTGCGCGATCCCGGATCCACCACCGAGGTTGAGGAGCGGCAGGAGAGGTGCGGCGAGATAAGAGGTCAGAGAGTTGGTGTTTATGGCATTTGATGATCCCCCGGGAGTCAAGAAGGTGTTTCGGATGAGATGAGTGGCGTTTCGCAGCATGCCAGCTCCGCCAAGGAACGCCGGAAGCCGGATAGGAAGTCGCAGCGGCGGCAGTGATGAGAGACTGGAAGATAAATGGACATTAATTCAAAATCAGCTAGTAAACTGAAGTAGTTCCGTCGCACCGGCGAGGAAACGATCTGAAAACTCACAGTATCATCTTATGCGAGCCATCAGCTGATTGTAGGCAGCCGGAATTCCGACGTCGATTTTCGCCAGGAGGCGGGATGAGTTTTTACTTCCGAATAAAAATCGGCTTTGCAATCGAGCGCGTGGAGGCGAGAAGAAAAATGTTCACAGAAATGAAAATTGGGGAGTTTTTACGTCGAGAGAGTTTTCTGGCTCGCTAGAAAGCTGTGAGGTGCGAAGAGGCTAAACGCTCGCCGTATTTGCAGATCTGGATCAGCCTTTCGAAGTCTAATCGGTGTTCGCAATCGGCATCGCTCGCAATAGTTTATAATTTTCAGCCTAATCAGAAGCATTCGTGGTCGGGAGACTGAACTAGTGATTCCTCGAAACTTGGAATCGAGAAGGCCGGGAGGCCCCCCCTGTGGAGTTCGTCGGATATCGAGGCGATCATTGGCCGTCGGCACACTTCGAGCGACGCTGGATGGAAAACCGATATCACGCGAAAAGCTTACCTGAAGGGCACGTTGAACGGGAGCGGCATGTTCATGATGTGAGAAATCCCTGGGATGTTCGCAAGCGATAATCCGGAGAGCACAGGTGGAAGGCCAGGAATCAGAGGTCGACGGGTACTCGAGGCACTGCTCTGATTCGCGCAAGTCGCAAACAACACAGCCACTAAGAGGACGCAAAGGTAGCTCCGCATTTTGATGTGTTTTGGTGTATGTCGAGTGACGGCGGTTCGACGAAGTTGCAGTCTCAGAAAGCGCGACCGTCAGTCGTCTCTCGGGAACCAATCGACCAACGGCTGAGGTGAACTCTCCGAAGAACCAACGACGACAACAGTAATGACAACAACAAGAACAACGAGAGTGTCTGCAGCGAGAGTGGGTGACAACGAGCTCAGCAGCCTCTACACCAGTGACAACAGCGACAGCGGCTCCCACAACGTCTATCTACCGAGCACCTGCTGACGGCAAACACGAGCAAACAAGTAAATCGACCGACGTCATTGCGGAGCCCGCTTATATCGGATTCGTAACTCTCCCTCGCTGTCAGCAAAGGGAAAATTCCAAGCCGGGCCGCCCCACTGCCAAGCAGCGGCTCGTCCAAGCAACCACCCAACCCACCTACCTCCTTCCCTGACTGGCGCTATTCGCCGACGACGCTGAAGACATTTCTCGCGCCGGGCACAATGACAACAATCAGGCTAGCGTAATCTTCAAGTACACTGGTGAATAAATGAACTGATACAGTTCAGTGGATAAATTGAAATCTGCGGGCGGAAACACGACCAGATCGTGGTCGAGTCTTGCGCGGAATGCGTCGACGTTCTGCAAGGGGTGCCTTGATTTCCTGGAGAAGATGAGCGAAGGCCGAAGTTGAGCGGAGGCCGAAGATGATTCGCACTCCCCGAACTCGGCGAGGATTGAGACGTGACAAGCTCTTCGGATGTCCGCGGGATGTCCAATAATTCCGCTATTGCGGTTTATTTCGTTGCTCTTCGGATAACTTCAATTTCCTGAAGTTTTGTCATCGTGTATCCCTCGGCACACAGGCCGATGAGTGATCGCACCGATGCCCCGATCAGCGAGCGCAATTCAGATCGGATTGATTCAACGCACTTCCATCTTCATATCGCGGCGAGCCGAGACGCGAAGCAATGATGGTGACGCACTTCGCGGACATCGCGCTAGAGTAGTGAATGGACTAACACATAGCCTAATCATTGCCGAGACGGCGGGACATCATGTCCGACAAGAGGGAGCTCCGAGAAGTAACGGGACTCCGATAATTCTTTTCCAGCCTCTCCGAGGGCTGAAGCCGGTGCTGTGATCGAGCGGCGGCGGCGGCACCGATGGAATTCCCGCTCGGACCGCGACTCGTTCGTTCGATGAAGTTCCGTAATCTGAAAACGACATTATCTGTTATAGTAAGTGCTTTTGGAAGCATCCGAACGACACGCGCAGAACAAGCCGAAGAAGCCCGCCCAAAACTTGTCTGGCCGAGTGCCTCCGTCGAGAACAACAACAACGACGAACATCACCATCATCGTTTTTCTCATGATTGTGGATCAGTTTAGAGGTCTTCCGTTATTTTCCTACTCTTCTATTCCCCGTCGGTCATCTCTCCATTCACCACTTGTATTCATGGATGATGGTTATATCGTTCAGACAAGAAAAAGAATGGTATCCCACTCAGACAGACGTCCACTTTATTCATTGAATCCGAGTTGTGGCTATGATGTTTTCAGGAGCCCCGGTTCGGCATCAATTCCGACAACGCTGCTCTGATCGTATAAAATCTGAGATACCAATGCGATCCGTTTGCGGGAACAATATCGGAAACGGGGCTTCAAATACACGAAGCAACGATTGACAGCTGTGTATCCCATCGAATTCCGAAGTTACAGGTCTCAATTAGAAGCCTGTCGATTCACTTGCGCAGCCGAATCCGAATGTTTGCAGGCATCCGCCGTTGCCTGCCGCGATTTTCAACGACTGGCGAGCCAATCCATAAGAGTGGGATCCGATCTTAATTTAAGATTCGGGAATGTTTTTTCAAAATTTCGAACTCCCTTGCATTCCAAGTTTTAATGCCCCATCCCTTCGCACCTTCGACCTTCGCTTCGTTCGATCGCCCCCTCCGTTTTCGCTTGTCTAATACTATGAGGTGTCATTGAATCTTCTCGGTAGACGGTGCCTCGTACGGCTTGTAATTGAGAGTCTGCAATAGTATTTCGCGTACGGATCTTCGCCCCGCGGTGTTTGATCCCATCGCACTCAAACCGTTAAGTGTTGAGGAAACGATTTTTAATACGAGTCTTTGTCATAGGTAGAAAACGAGGAGAGTCCCCGTCAGAATCCGAGTGACGGAACCGGGAGATACCTTCGAAGCTCGTCGTCTCATGGGTGTTTTTTCTGCAGCAGCCGAGGGGCGCAGCATGACGCGCGGTTTTTGTCAACGAATTTGTTATCTTGAGCAAATCGCTTCAGAGGCGTTGCAGATGTTCTACGTATCTTCAGCACTTCTCTTCGTCCCCAATTAATATCCGAACGAGTTTACGCTCACGAAAAGCCTTCAAGCCGACTGAGATAAGTCTTCCAGCTTCCCCGAAGTTCTCAAACGGAGAGAGCTTCCCAATGAGAGTTCGAGAAACCCTGTCTCGTTGTGGGGGGCCTCCGACCGAATTTTATGAGTGCTCTCTCCGTAGAGGCTTCAGTATTGCGCTTCCCTTAGCTTCAGCTGCGGATCTAAAGTCGGCAGCTTCTTTTTGCTGAAATCAGGGAGCCCGATAGGACTAGCAGCTCGTTAGCTGTCACCCAGAGCCGAGAAGGAACGATTCCCCGATGGAGTGCGCCGTCAACGGCGTTGCCACGGAATGAGAGAACCTTTTATTCTGAAAGCCTCCTTTCAATCGGAAGCTGGATGGGCAGAAAGCTAAGGCATCAAAAAACATAAGAAAAACACTTCCGAGTCTAGTTTTAACGAGTAAAGAAATTAAGTTGAAAGATCGCCGAAAAAGAACGCCCGCGAGGTTGGGTCCTGACGACTGCTGGGGGCATTAACACTGCTGGCTCGACGGTTTGGCGGGAATGAACGCCCGTCCGCCGACCGGCCGTTGGATCGTCCATCCTTCCGCCGCCCCTTGGGTCGACGTAGCATTCGCGCTGGGTTTCGCCGGCACGCTTAAAGAAGTGCGCTGGGAAATTGCGGAAATTTGGCAGAATTTTCACACTTGGCTACACGACCAATAGACTAACAGAGCACACGAACGAAACAGCGAGCCAGCATTTCAGTAAAACCATCTTGTTAACGAACTGGTCATTGCCTCCATTTGCCTCGGTGGCCGGCCGACCGTGTCTGGTAGATCTCACTCAGCGAGCTGGGTGGGATTCGAACCAGTCGTCAAGTTACCGACGGACGACAGACAGACTCACTGGCTGACTGTCCGCATGGGACCGAGATCATTTCCCTGTATCGATTCGTCCGCCTGCGTCCACGCTTGTGCGCCTTGCTTTTCCCTGGCGCCGAAGACGGTCTCGCCGCTCATAACCACTCGGATCGTGGGAGGAGAATCCAACCCGGATTTGGTCGAATCAATTGACATCCGATGACCAGATCGATGACGACAATGGTGGACCATCGGGGAAAATTGAGAAAATTTCTCTATTTGGATCGAGCTATAAAATGATACAGAGTCAGCTAAGCTTGCTTCGCTCGGGCCGTCGTCCGACGGGGAAACGGTGTCGGCGACGAAGTCGTAGCTGTCCGCCGACGCCGGGGCCGACAGAATCGCGGAAGAAAAGTCGGAAAATTCCTATTGGATTCCAATCTGAGCCGATAGATCGTTTAAGCGGATCGAGTAGCGGGTGGATTGGAGGTGTCGTCATCTAAGTCGTCTCCGGCTTCACTTGAGGGATGAGAGTGATGATGCCCAGCAGCCAGCCAGGCAGCGAGCAGATAGAAAGACAGTCGGCCAGGCACAAGCAGGCTGGCGGGCAGGCAGGGGGGCGGGCAAGCACACAAGAAACAAGCAGACGAGAGTTCCGGCGACGGAAAACGCGATCGTTTCTTCCTCGATTGTTCCAACCCTTTCGTGCACACTTATCTTCCGAAATTATTCCCAATTTCATACTTTCGTAAATAACTCTCGAGAACCATAGGTAGCCGGATATCGAGCGTGGGATCCGATCGTGTGACAAAAGTTTAGTGTTCATCCCCTAAATAACACCTTGCAATGATTCAATACCTCCACTACTTCCTACTAACGTGCCCCACACGTAGGCGGAAACGGATGCGATTTCTTTCCCAGCTAGACTGACTCAATTTCGACCACGAGTCTGCGTCATCCTTGTTCGCCGGGAATGAATTCTAACTTCGAGAGAGAGGTTTCCCCTTCGGCCGACGGATGTCGACAGATTGCGTGGTCCACACGTCCTGACCCTCCGGGTGCTAATTTCGGGGATCTATTTCCGAGCGGCTCCTATAGTTTCCTCCGAAATCGGAGCCGAGTGGCTGTCCGATTGAGGGACAGTTACCCGAGTCATGCCTCGTTTCGGCAATCGCTGCGGTGTCTGCTATCGGCCACAAGTCGCGCGAGCGACGTCGAGGAACAAAGCTGAGTTCTAAAAGAACTTCGGCGAGCCACTGCGATCACACGGAGGGAAGAAGAGAAATCCGGAACATCTTCCGACGATGTATGTTTTTTCTCGGGCAAAATTCTCGGCCAGATAGCAGTTTATGATGCTTTTTGCCGCTTCGCCTTTTACTTTCACTTCTGCTGCGTTGTGGTCATCTTCGGTCTCTTTTTCCTTCAGATTTTCTCCAGCGACCGACTCGACATATCGTGGATTTGTCGAAAACTTCCATATCTGTGTTTTTTTTTCTTCACCGTCGACGAATCCTGCAGAGAAGAGCGTAATGAGAGGAGGCGCAAGGCGATTGCTCTATAGATTAGCGAGTGCGAGATTTGTGACTGAAATCGATTGAAGGCATCATCGACGGCAATCGCGAAAGCTTCCATCACGAATGACGCTCTGAATGAGCACTGCGGTCTGCTGCCTGGAATTTGGCGATACCTGCTGCCGCCTATTCATTCGTCAGAAACGAAGACTTCCATCTCGAGGTTCTGACTCAAATACGATGCATAACATCAGTGAGGCAGTCTATAGTGAAGTTTTCTGTTCCGCAGAGTTGGACGGCGGGAGTTCATTTGCCGGCTCGCGACTCCGTCCAAAGTTCTGTCAACAATTCCGTATTCGCCTCGAGTCGAGGCTTGAGTTCACGAGTTTCCTCTTGATCAAAAGAACTAAAGAATTAAGTGAGCTGACGAGGGTCAAGTATCAATGAATTGATGGAACATCCATGCGAATACTTATTTAAGGCATGGTCTGGAGAAGCTCTTGGGGAAAGGAGTCATGCTGTGACGGAGCATCTCAGTCTTCCGGAAAGTTTTATCACCCGAGCTTGATGAGAAATCCGATCCGTTA